CCATGGCACCACCACCACCATCACCACCAACACAAAACACAACTAAACATAATTTCTAATGCACCCGAGAAGGCGCACCGCCTGAAACTGTTACTATGAAAGCAGTGTTTCGTGCCCAGGGGCTACTACTCCAAATGATAGCGCAACGTTGCTGCTGCGATAGAAAGAAGAGGATAACTCGTCCTTGGTGTGAAAATTGGGAGAGAGAAAGAGTGCCGCCACTAGAGAGAGGGAGACTGGGAGAGAGAAGAATGAGAAAATTTTAGGCCATGTTCTCTTTACAATTTTAAAACCGTTTTCTGTTTTCGATTTTTTTAAATAGTGAAAACGTCTTTTTGAAAACAAGTTAAAAATTTATAAAGAAAATTCAAAACGACAAATTTGTCGTTTTTGGTGTTTTCAATTATAATCAAGTCAAAATTTTCAAAACGCGTTTTGGATGTTTTCAAAACAATTTTTCAAAATGCCAAAAAGAATACATTTTCAACAATCTCAAAATGGACACTAAAAACACAAAACTCAAAATACAAAGAGAACATCCCCTTAGGGTTTTGAAATCAGGATAGGTTGAATGGGTCGGGTACATAAATTAATTTAATTTAATTTTATAATAATAGTGTAATATAATTGTTAATATTTAAAATTTTAATTATCATTTGATTTTTGAAAAAAAATTGTAAATCTTAATTTTGAAATTGAAAATTTAAATTTTTGGTAGACTGTAATTTTCACTTATTTATTTTCAAATTAGGCTCAGCCCGTGATTACAAATTGAGTTTAACCTAGCGGAAACCAACCTAATAAAAATTCGACCAAAACAAACAGACAATTCAAGAGAAAATAAGTTATATTTAAAAACTTTTAGAGAGTTCTAAAAATCTATATTAAGCCCCTTTTTGGAATATGTTATAATTTAAGGCCATGTTTGGTTCATATTAAAATCTGATTTTAATTCAAGTCAAAGTCAAACAATCAATATTAACCACATGTTTTATGGTTCCACAATTTTTCAACCGCACATTTCAAAAACTCTTATCACAATTTATTAAAAATCTAATTTTAATCCCCACCAGACACCCTCTACCTTAAAATTAATTTTTATCAAAATTTATTATAAATTTAATTTTTTTAAGTGAGGGAAATATTCTTAAATTTTTTAATCTTTAAAAGTTTTAAAAGTCCCAAGTGAATAATGGAGACGTAAGAGGGTGAGAAAAGAAATTATTTCTACTTTGTACAGCAGTATATACGTTTTTCTCCGTTTGAGAGGCTGTACCGTAAACTAGACTGGTATAAAGAGAACAAGAACAAGAAGAGGGCTTTTTTTGTGTCAATTGTTAAAGCACACTGGTGTTTTTGGATCAGCTGAGGACATGGTAATCTTGTTTTTATAATTTTTATTTTTCAATTTATTTCATTTCTGACTGATTTCTGTATAAATTTCTGCCCAAAACAATTGTTATCGATTTGGGATTTCATAATTTTGTTTAATCTATTCGTTTTACACTTTGGATCTATAAGCGTGTGAATCTGACGGATTAGCATCCTTGAGATCCTTCTGGATCTGCATATGCTTTATTCATGTTTAAGATTGGGAA